GTATACAAATTATTGTTGGAATTATCTAGGGATGGGGGAAAGGGAATACAATTTATTGTTGAACTTATTTAGGAGTCGCAGAAAGAAAATACAATTTATTGTTGAAATTATCTAGGGGTGAGAAAATGGAATACAATTTATTGCGGAAATTATTTATGGATGGGGCAATTTGCATAAATTAACTTCAATATCACAAAACATGAGTAAGCACTAATATGGAGTAGACAAAAATGTTTATATTTGCACAGTTTGATCATGGACATGTTAACTTGGGGTGTCAGATGGCAAAGATGAATCAGAATAAAGAGAGAATTTTTTTTTATGATCTATAATTTATTTATAATTTTATACGCATAAACTAACTAAATAACACCCCTTTTACGCGTTTTATTTTACTTCAACTTGCGTACCATATTTTATTCAGATAAACCCCCCTCCCCGGGCCAATATATTGTTCCCAATATATGAAGTAAGTAACCCTGCAGTAAATCGTGTGCTAATCAAAAGCAATGGGACGAAAGTTAATTGGGACAAATCGACTTCTGGGACGAATGTGAATTGGGGCGAATTGAGTTGAATCGTTCGATATGGGACAATCTCCAGCCAGGTCATATAATGTAGAGCACATGTATGACCTTTAAACACACATACCACTGTCAGTTTACAACAGAAGCAACCCGAAACTCAATTTGCATATACGGTATAATATTAATAATTAATTCGCATCACCGCAGTCAACATAACATATGGTATATGACTTAATCCGAAACGATAAATTCACCCTGTTTAAAAAAGACTTATTACGACATCAAATTAGTCATTTCATAATCAATAGATCATCGCGTACGAGAGAAGGAAAGATAAAAGGTGAATCCCTGCAAAATGGCTGGAGAGCCGCAAATAGCTATTCGTCGTAAACATAAACTTTACAACTCACCGCAGTTTACACTGTCGGTTCTCCTTATATTATCCCTGTATTATGTGTTAGTTTCACACCTTGCACACTGATTGTCATATACATGTACAGCACTACAGTCACACAGCAACGATTCACAGAGGTCGAAGTACCCGGTGAAGCACCATAATGTAATGACAGTCCGAATATAAACTGTCCTTTCACCTTCGCGATAAACACCAGCGTTGGGGGCGCTATATATAATGAGGTTATTTCTTTATTAATTACATGTATCTTCAATAGTTGTAATTGCTGTTTGGCATTTCTTATACTTACATCAGGGTGAACATAAAAAAGCTAGAATCACGTTACTTATAGTTTTGAATGTGTGCACATGCTTATTGCATTAGACGGGTTTTTAATGGGCACTATGTGTTACAATGAATTAAATGTCATGTAGCAAGTCGGCGTCTATTATCTCTCTCTAGTGCGTACAGACTTTAACTTTAACGTATTTATTCATTGAGAAAGGATACGACGTCCGAAACGTCTAGTTATATTGTATAAATATCAACTGAATGACTACGATTACCAACTACTATTTGTTATATATATCGGTTATATCAGCTTTCATCAATTTTATAAACAGTGTCAGTAAAAAACAGAATGCATGGTAGCTCAGCTGATGGTTTTAGTTGGGGATTTTCAAATTATATACATAAACATACCGCCACTTTACAGCTAATAACTGGCTCAAAGATTGTTTACTAGTATTTGTCCAGATGACGAAAGAAAGCTTTCACCGAAATAACGGGCTATAGTATGCGTTCATCTCTGGAAGCAATTGCAATCTTCGGTTCGTTTTGTTCTTAATATCTCAGACTACTATATTAGTCTGAGCTAATAATGATAATGATATCGCCTCGCAAATTTCTTTGATAGTGTATGACATTCGCGATATGTTCTTCATATGATGAAAATACCCGGTAATTTGACACAGACAACTTCTCCAAAGTTATGTGGGATGACACGAACATTTAACTGGGGGGGGGGGGCGTAATAAAATGAAATTATTGTGATAATAACCAGTTAGTTTTCAAACATGCATTGCAAAATGGCAGTTTTGACTGACATTGTATTATTTGGCCAATACCAAAAACGCTTTGAAACGGCTCATTTTTATGACCGGGGTTAGCCAACAAAATCTGTAGGAGGTTGTATGAAACAAATAGTGACCCATCCATTAAAACGGTAAAAAATATAAAACCGCACACGCAGCAAACATTACTTAAAATACAATAAATATGATTAAATGAAAAATAGTTTTGCAAGTGTTTCAAGATTTTTTAACTGGAACATTATATTTTTTTCATGACACCTATGTAAATGCGTAAAGCTGATTTAAGTAATAACATTTCTGATGGTGTGTATGTGTTTTATTCTACATGTATCTCGAGTAGAGGTGTGTGTGATGCTCGAAATCGGTACTCTGTGCCTCACACATACCCTCCATGATGGAGCATGGAGGTAAAAAGAGATCCCATTTTACCTCCATGGATAGAGGGACTGTGCTCTCGAGTAAGATAAGAAAGTCGCCCACCATGTTTACTCAGTAAACAATGGATACTTTCAGCTAAATGTTAATTTGTTATTCACACTAACCACCTATTGTACTAGGTTTAATAAACCATAGTGGTAATTAATTCATAAATTTTAAAGTCACCACTTTGAGCATATTTTGCATGGAAACATAGGCACACAGGCTAAAAGCCGGGAACAGTTGTTTTCAACCATTTGCACCAAATTTGAACAAGATATTTAAAGACAAAATTGGCTGACATTCAGCCATCTTGACTCGATTGTGAAATGAATGTGCCTATCTATCCCAAGATGCATTTATGAAGTTTGAGTGCGTTTGGTCCAGGCAAGTCAGAGGTTATAGGTGGAGAGGATCACAATATCTTGGCATTTATTGAGAAACAGTACAATGTAGCAATTTTTAAACCGTGTACAATTAGTTAACTAAAAATGAGTTTGTAAATAAGTTACCTTATTCTTAAGGATCTCTATGGTTTGTAATAGAAATTAGTTTAAATGTGTTTTTGCTAATGTGTTTAATAATGGTAATTAAACTAATGTCTGGCCTAGGTAAAGGGTCAGAATTTTGTATATATTATTCGGGGATGGGGACAGCATATTTCAGTAAATTTGTTTGTGGAGGGCAAGATAATTTTATGTACAAGACTTTACACCAGCCCCCCCTGTAATTTCTGTCCAGTCCCTAACTTGCACATACTCAAAATATTTTCATTTTACCAAAAATAATTAAATCTTTTGTCAAAACTTCTGGGTTTATTTCAACAAAATTCACGCAACTCTCTTCAATGCATCTTTTTATATAAGCAAAATATTTTGAAGCCCTCGCCTGTAATCTTGTCACTATCTCAGGTTGGATTTGAGCATGGGATTATATGATCACGTTTGTTTTGTATTGTGTAGTACTTATCTGGGAGAATAACTGCTAAATAAAGCTGTAACACTCAAGATTGATACACGCTACTTGATTTCTAGCAATCCTTTCAGTGATTCTCACCAATTTTGTTTTCCCCCCCACATCTGCAAGTGCGACTTCAATTGTAAGAAAATATTTTTCCAGTAGCAAGACCTACCGGTACGTCTCAAACCTGGTTCCCAAGTTGATGACTGAGCTAAACAGGCAGGGCAAGGGTGGATAGATTTAGAAAATAACCAGTCAGGGAGAATAAATTTCAAGCATATTAAACTTGTAGCTTGAAAAGCATTGCAGCATTCAGTGCTGTAAAGTTCAGTAACTACTCTAGCTTGGCTTGTCTCTTCTCAACTGTTTTAGTTCAGCATTTACTAGAAATTACTCATCTTGTTCTCGCAAGAACCAAATGGAGAGTACAACATGTCCTCACTATTTAAAAATAACTTTCAGCAGCAACCTGTACATCTGAAACACAAATTTCCAGATCGACTAGTTGAGTGGGTGCATGATCCCTACTGAATGAGCCAGGGCGTCAATTTGTGGTTGAATGCAACATTATTAAGTTCCTATCTTATACATGCGTGTGTGTATATATATATATATATATATAAACAGTTAATTCTGCAGGTCATTGGCCCATTGTCCTACATAGTTGCACAACACTCTGGGGGGGGGGGGGGGACATCTAAAACTATTACTGGTACTTCATTTAAGTACAGCAATTCTGACATTAACGGTACTCAGCTGCCTGTTTGGAGTCTTTGTTCTAGTAACATACTTGACCTCTTGTTTATACCAGATACTCAAACAGGCTGTTAACTACCACTAACATGCTTGAAGCCATGCTTAAACTATCAGTTTCCTATCCTATCCTAACACAAAAGCAATCATCACAGTTACACTGAAATAATATTACATTCGGTCTTTTATTGAACCTATGATGTTATAAGGAACAAAAATAATGCAGCCTTTTTTGCTGAACTGAAGTTGCAAATTAATTTTTATAATCTAGTCAAATAGACCAAAGCCCATATCATCATCGGACTCCTCCTCGGATTCTTCTTTCTTTTTCTCTTCTTTCTCTTCCACTGAAAAAGGAAAAGAATGACTTTAATAAGCATCTAAACAGACCATTTGTAAATATTTGTTCAAACGCACTATACCCCCACTATTCTCAAACTTGTTCATTTTTTTGCACAACAAATCGCATACAACTACTCATTTTAAGAGACTGTAAAATAATTGTTGCATGGACCACAGAACACTGCCATTGAATGATATTTTAAGATTTCATAATTTTGAGGCAAGAGTTGTCAGATTTAAAGCATAATACATCAGCAAGTCAGCCGAAAGATGGTGAATGACTAAATCATCATACAAACTCTTGCGCCCAAACAAATTTCTTTTGAACCATTCAGACAAACTCTTCCACAATCAATTTTCTTTGCAATAGAGAAAATTAGTCATCAGGGCTTGTACAGATTACATCCCATCAAATTTCAGTAACATACACTCTGAAGTATTATATCAACATCAGAAACAAAATTGGCCAAATGATGCAACAATCAGATTATCTTGCCTAGGTTATTTAAGATAATGTTACTTAATGACACTATACCAGGGAGTTTTCTCTGAAAGTTACTAGGTTAAATTTTTGAAGCCAGAATTGTTAACTTGGAATTTCCCCTAAACCACTTAAACTTCCATTTCAAGAATCCCAGAGAGATTCACAACTGCAGAATTTCTCAGACTCAAATTTTGCCTCAGGCAAAAAAGCCGTTTACAGTGTGTGCCACTGCATACCATTTAAAGAGTGATCATGCTGAACATGAACCAAGGGCTGCAAAAGCTTATTGTCACTTGCAACTCAGATTTTAATAGGCTCTCTTATCACTGACTGGTGAAATGTGCACATGGAAATAGCTCAACTTGCACTTGCAAGAACGTTAGGATTCAATAAACTATGGTCCATTATAAGATTGATTTGGACTGGAAAATTTGATTTTCAGTAATTTCAACTTTCAGTAAATTCTGAATGATTTGAAGTTTCATCGGTACGTTTCTTCTAATATTATATAGGATACTAAATAAACCCTTTTTGTAAATAAGTGTATGTTTGCTATGCCTAGAAGTAAGTCCCCCCCAAACACTAAGTCAACATAGTAGTCTTGTAACTGGAAAATCTACACATTTATATAGCTGACTAACATGTGCATTTACCTTTTTCTTCTGCAGCAGCAGCAGCACCACCTCCAGCAACGGCACCACCAGACGGAACAGAAGCCAGCTTTTGCTTTCCTGTAGTAAAAGACAATATGTGACATTAACGACATGTGCAAGTTGTATTTACAGTCAGAAAGAAACTTCAACCAATAGTGAGGCAAGGTTTGTCAGATATAAAGCATAATACATCAGTGAGTCAGCCGAAAGATGGTGAATGACTAAATCATCATACAAACTCTTGCACCCCAAGAAATGGACAAGTTTCTTTTGAACCATTCAGCAAGTAGATATGGACCTATACAATTGTACGTAAATTGTTGCCAATCAACACCACCATGGGTAGTACTATAGCAAAATGCGGATATGCACCAAATTAGAGTGAACTGTTTGCGACTAAATAGGTGCAAAAAATTATTAATGACTAGAAACTTTATCAGCAAATAATCTGTCATCTATCTAATTTGAGCACAGAGAATTGTTGTACACATGCATATTGAGTATATTCGGTCTTGACAAATGTGGATTCAGGGCTACTTTATAGACATTTTGGCTCCATGGTGTTAAAATAAAATTGAAATTTGGCAACGAAGAATCTGTCAAATTTACCTTGTTCAAACTCAAACTTTGCAGTTCACGAAAAAAGTATTAACCCTCATCTGGTCGGGGTACAGTCACTTCACCCGAACTCCTTCGCCTGATTACCAGTTCGCCCAATTACCGGTTCGCCCGTTTTCCTTTTTGCCCGATTTACCGATGTTACACAGTAGGCCTACTGGGGGTTTCGATTCGAAATGTACATCTGGTAAAATGCATAAAATCTACCATATGATCGCATTTTAGTCAGGGTTTTCTTGCCGATGCAAACACTGCAACTGATGTGACTGTCCCTCAACTCATTGTTTCCTCCCGATACACAAATGGCATAAAACGCAACGCAACGGCATAAAATTACGTTACAACCCCGTTGTAAACTTCACGTTCGTCACCTTATAAAAACAAATTTCGACTTCTACGTTATCTTGTTTTGACTACACGTAAATACCAAACATACGACTCGGAGGAATCAGGCGAACTGGTAATCGGGCGAAATGGCGACCGAGCGAAACGGCGACCGGGCGAAATGGTGATCGGGCGAAATGGTGATCGGGCGAACAGGTAATCGGGCGAACAGGTAATCGGGCGAAATGCCCCCAATTCATCTGGTCAAGTTAATGTAAAAATACATAAGGACTGGCGGGATTACTGGCAAGGACTGAACACACAATACAGTAAACGCATACCTGCTGCTAGAACTTCCTGAACATCTTTCCCACTCAATTCACTAATAACTTTGTCCAACTTTTCATCATCTGCTTCAATGCCCACACTGTCCAATATCTTCTTTATATCTTTGGAAGTAGGGTTTGCGTTTCCACCGAGGACGGCGAGGAGATATGCGGCCACGTAACGCATTCTGTAAACAAAATGTTCAATCGCAAAATAAAATTTTTAACGTTATGGTCAAATGCAATATACAATAAAGTGGAAACTCGAGTGCACTGTCAGTATGCCAACTACAATATATTGCATAACGATATGCAAACTTGCATCTCCCAAATTGAACAGCAAGTTTCGTTATTATTTTTTTTTTTAATACTCTGTATAATCTGGTCGGCTTATTTTGTTTACACGTATACAACCTTAAACTACAGACCAAAAGACAAGCAAAGTTCGACGCCAACACAGCAGCCAAACACACGTGGGTAATGTGAAAACATGGGAAGGACTGCACGATGAAATATGTGCGATAATTTCTGTTAAATGTAGTTTCCGAGTGTAATATTCACGAAACCACTAAAACATGACTTTACTTAATGATATAAATCGTTGAAACACTATTTCTTTCCAGAAAACCACCTACTTTTAAGTCTTTCCTAGACACGAAACGTGATCACGCAAGTAATCGTGATTCTAAAATGGAGAAGAGGACTTTTATAGGGTTTCTAACACTGACCTCCAGGGGCACGACCAAAAATAAATACACACAAAGTTACGCCATCGTGTATTTACTTAGGTAACAATAATATATTAAATATTTTTGATATAGTGGAATCAATAATTTGATCTGAGTGATTTTAAACTTCTGTTATAACTAAATCTAAATCATAATTATTTGACCCCATGGAGGAACGTGCAACAGGACAGAGAACAAACATAGCTTCCAAAATTGACGCTGATAAAGTTAGAATTCGATTCAGATTGGTAACAAATTCACAACGTAAACATTATCTTCATTCCACCAGTGAAACCGTTATATTCACTGTCATCTTTCTAATAATGATATACGCTTGCATTACATTACATTCTATTTCTATAAGGTCATGTCATCTTTCTACAGAAACGTATACATAAAAGAATCCGAAAGTCTACTCGAATAGGAATTTGAAAACAACTCTAAGTCAGTTTAAAATGGCTGACCGATTGACGCAGCTTCAAGATGCTGTTAACCAGGTTTATTGATTTTATTGTTACTACCAAGTATTATGTATTTTTATTTTCTCCGAAATCAGTATATATCTCGTCAACAATGATATAACCGTTTCGTGCTCCGAATAACTAGCAAACGACCATTATGTGCCGTCGTCGCAGTGTAAACACTTCCGGGTTCTGTAGTTTCACGAACAGTGGATTGTCCAACTTCACAAATTCAAAACACGTTTTTGCAACAAAATTAATAGTCTGAAATGTTCCCTTTCTTATATATTTACTGTTCGTAATCACCCCAAACATTCAAACAATATATACTGTATAAATACGTTCTAAATAACAAACACTTAACGTACTCTGAACTTTTTATAAATTTGCGTAAAATAAAATTTGCCCTAGCATAAATACACCGCAATTGTCGCTTCATATCAGCTTCATCCTTGCCATCTGATGACACCATATAGCTTTATGCTTTGTTTCCCACTTGTGATTAGTGCAGTTCAGGCTGATCGACCAGAAACAAATGATTTTGGGGGTTTCATATTGTAGATGATTAAATTTAATGATATACGCTTGCATTACATTACATTACCAAACTGTTTCAAGGTTATAATTTCTATTTCTATAAGGTCATGTACTGGGAAATAGTTCAAGTCGTTGAACCCAAGTCGTTGAACCCCATATAAAAGGTCGACAAGGGGTATTTTCGTAAGCTGTAATCAATTGTTTTTATTTTAGTAATAATGTAATTGAAATAAATAAAAAACGTAAATTTGTAGACATGGGCAAGTGTAAAATGTAAAGATATTAATTTTTGTAAGTGTATAACGCATTTTCCAAATTAAATGTCGTAATTTTCATTTTTGATTCTTAAACTCAAATTATCAAAAAATATTATAAAAACATAAAATGTAATTAGGAATTTGCTTTATCTATAAAGTGTAAAAACCTATTTTTTACTGTAAATGAAACTTTCATTTTATTTCCTGTAAAAACGTAAAATGCCGTTTTTATTTCCTGTAACCTGTACCAGCAATCCCCTCTTGCCCCCTTTCATATACGCCCACATATTGACTTCAGCAACCAACCACACAAATAGATTGTAAGGCCCCTGTGATGCTAAAGTATATCAAGGAGAGATTGACTTATTTTCAAGAACAAATGCATACCAAAATGATCAACAAATTTGTTGTTCACACAACCCTCATGTAGCCGGTCTTACTAAAATCCTGCCTAGGACCCAAATACTCATTTATTCTAATTCAAATGATGCTATATTTTGATGTTCTGGTTTGTTATCTCTCATTTCTTTAGTACAAAAATATTCAGAAAGGCCTTGTTTAATGTTTTTTGGGGTTGTATATGACTTTACTGTAAATGTAAACACTATTCACTATTTGCTGGGGCATACCATTCATGGTAGGGGTGCCTAAGACTAGAATATTGTAGTACAGTTTTGATTAGAAGACATAAAAATGTTTTTCCCTTCACACACGAAAAATCTAAGAAACAAAAATTATAGCATAAACAACATTGCTTTTTCTGGTTTCAGCTTAATAAAAAGTGATGGTTTTCTCACTACTGAAACGCATGGAAGTGGTAACTGTATTGTATCTAATAAGTCATCTAAGATAATTGAACAAAATTTCAAGTTAACAAATTTAACATATTTTTATGTTATTTATTTAGTTAGCTGACCACTTTTGTAACAGTATAGGAGTGCTTCAGGAGTCATCTGTACCTGGAAAATTTTCAGGTTTTGATAAACAAGGTATGTAACATAAAGTATACTAAATCCACTTTGTGATCGCTAGACTTATGGTCAACATAAGCAAAGATGAAAATTGTTTAAAACAGTTTTTGTTTTTTTGTTTTTTGAAATAGCACATTATGACCCCAGCATTACAGCAAATGTTGATTTCAATTCAATGTGTATGCAGTTCTCCAAAATCTGGCAAAATATACATCTTTGGAATAAGTTCAAGTAGAAAATGTGTAGACTTGTATATGAGATAATATGAAGTGCCCAGGGAGTCTGGTAGAAATGCACAATTATCTTTGGGTTGTGTTTCCTATAAAAGTTCCTTCTCAAGGTGAAATTGTGTCTTTATTCTCAGTAAGTGCTTGACTGACTTGACTCTTTATTGAACTTGTTTAATTGGTTTTGAAATCTTCAGAGCAGCAGCAACAAGCTGAAGATAACTCATTACTGTTTGCCCAACTGATTGCAAGAACTGCCAAAGATATTGATGTACTTATAGATTCATTACCAAGTGAAGATGCTACAGTAGAATTACAGGTATGACTGTTTCTGAAATGTGAGTGTTCTCAATCTCTCAAATACTTTGAATACAGGTCAAGTTTAATCTAGACTTGGTTGATTAATACGGTTTATGTTTTATTTACTGCAACCATCTTTCAAATGTGCATGTGTATAGTACATAAATATAAATTCATATTTTCCTATAATTTTTTTATTAAATTTGGACGAAATAGACATAATTTTCCATTGTGTGCTGGTCTTATAAATATAAAAAAAGTTTATGTGGGTTTATTTTGTGACATGTAATGAAAGTTGGTTTTGGCATTGAAAGCATTTGTTTATGAATAACTTTAATTTGAGTCCTACTAATGTTGTAAGATGTTGCTTCAGTAATTAAATAATAATAAATGACATCTTTGTTTTGATTTCTTCCAGAATGCAAGTATACAGAGACTTGAAAATGAGAACGAGGAAGCAGCAAGGAAATTGAAAGACATTGTCAGGAAAGGAGAAATTCTCTTGGAGAGAATACAATCTGCGTTGAAAGAAATAGCAGATGCACAATTGAAATCTCAGAGTTCACAGAACACAACATAGCATAAGTGCATGAGCTACACATGCAAGAACCAGCATGAGATGGCATGGAAAGCAAAGATGTAATAATAATAAGGTATTCATCAATGCAAAACATTCTGGTGACAAGAGGGATTGAGACATTGTGGAACATGTTTTTCACACAGTAGACTTGGAGATGACCTGGTAACTGGATGATGTACTTTGAATGCTTATATTGACTCATGGGTTGTTAGCGAGTCAGGATATGACATACAGCATGTATAGAATGAGAACGAGGAAGTAAAACTACTGAAATAACATTATATAATCCAAAATAGGGACTTTTGTTTGTCCTCCTACATCACGTAGGTCTATTCACATGAGAAATCCTATTTGCAGCAAGTGGGACATATTGGGTGGGATATTGGAATTGTCTCAGTCAGTTTTCAGGTTATATCTCAGGACATCACTGACATTGCCAATGTAGAGATAATCAAACAATGTACTTTCGATAGTCTTCACTTTGTAAATCACGAAAAGTTACTAGTATTTTAATGGATTACATTCAGTTTAGTACAGAGTGTCCTCAAAGTAAACAGTAACTATCTCTGTTTCATATCTATCAATACATCTTATGAGATCACTTCATCAAACCATTATGACTGTGTTTCATGAGCAGGAGATCACAGGTCACTCAGTGGGCAACACGAATATCATGTACATCCAGTTATGAAGGATTTGCTGTATTACCTCAAAAAAGAAATACCTAATTATTTGTGTAATAATTTTATAAAATCATTACCGGTAACTGCCAATATGTATTTAAAATACTTCTCCAATAAAAGTGTAAATGTAAACTTGGAAGTGGAAGTCCATAACAAATACTAAGCTTATCAACCTCACTCAGCCTCTTATGTAAAATGTTTTGATGCAGTATTGAGCCAAGCATGGGTATTTAATAGAACCAACTTAAGTCACAATATTTCACATACTACAGCTGTTTTTTAGATATTGCGAAATGTTGAAATAATAACATATTACAATTTACGAAAGAAGCTTGGTGTGTTTGTGTCTTACCGATAATTCCTATGAAATTTTACCCCAACTGCTCAACAGTTTGTTTAATCTCAAAATTTTATTTAAATGTAACTTTATGTGTCTATGGACCACAGGAACATTCATTATGAAAATATAATGTTGAGTATTTGTCACCGCTGTCTGTTCTTCATCTTGATTTGTAGCTCTTCTTAATATGGAAGCACATAAAACAGAAACATGAATGTGGCCTAAGATTAAAACAGGAACACAAGTGTGGTCTAGGATTGAAAACAGGAATATTGCCCAAGATCTAACACATGAATGTAGCTGAGGATCTACAAGTTCTCTGACCTCCATGGTCAATTAAATTTATTATTATTGACTTCCATAGATATGTATAAACCTGTATCTCGCACATGCCTACACTGATCAAGTTTAAACATCAGACATTTTATTGGACATGAGCACATGTATTTGTTTCATAATCTGATTCAAGATGGTCAATTGGAAGCCATTTTAAGGATAATCTAAGAAAGCTTAGAGAGAACTCCGGTGTGCTGAGTATTGAAGACACATTAAAAATTAATTCAAAATTACATGTACACGAGATATTGATGGAAAAGCTGAAAACTAATTATGTAAATCAGGTAACTAATATGAACAGAACACAGAACAAAAAAATTATGAATTATTATGCTAATTAGAGAATTAATATGAACAAATTTTAACCCAAAATTAATCAGACCCGTCTATTGTCCTAGAGCATTTATGTATCAAATTTTATTCAAATGTGATGATCAGTAATTGAGATATCAGTGTTAATAAGCATAAATATTTACCAAAAACTAATTAGGTCTCTGCATAGTTCTCTTGAAAAGTTTCATTAAAATCCAATTCGTGGTTCTTTATATATCAGTGGAACATTATGCAAATTAGGTAATTAATATCCAATTATAACTAATCAGGTCTCTGCATAGTCCTAGAAGATCTATGTAACAAGTCTCATTGAAATATGATGATTAGTACTTAAGATATCAGGCAAAAAGCTGAAAATTAACTAATTATGCTAGTAAGATGATTAATATGCACAAATATTACCCAAAAACTAATCAGGGGTCTGCACAGTCCTTAAGTAACTATGTACCAAGTGTCATTGAAATGTGATAATTACTACTTGAAATATCAAAAGCTGAAAATTAATTAATTATGCAAACTAGGTAATTAATATGTACTGATTACTACTTGAAATATCAAAAGCTGAAAATTAATTAATTATGCAAATTAGGTAATTAATATGTACTGATATTACCCTAAAAACTGTCAGGTTTGTGCAGTGTCCTATGACATCTATGTACCAAGTTTTATTGAAATGTGATGATTAGTACTTGAGATATCAGTGAAAAAACCGAGAATTGATTAATCATTATGCAAATTAGATAATTAATAAGCACAAATTTTCACCCAAAACTAATCAAATCTGCGCATTGGTCCAGAGCATCTATGCACCAAGTTTCATCAAAAATCAATGTATGGTTCTTGAGATATCAGTGGAACAGACACACTAACTGCAAAGACTTCGCATACAGGAGTCATAAATGCATCAATATCAAAAATTGTCACTATTCTGGAACCAGATCTCAGTTGTGAGTGGGTAGATTTTGTTTACACATGGTACAGACTTTGCTCAGAATTGGAATTTGATGCATGTCAATTTATTTTTTGTATCCCAAATATCCCAAAATATCAAATATATAGTTTTAAAGACAGCAGTTCCAGATCCATATCTTGACGTGTCTGGACCAATCAAGTTCAAACTACATCATGCATCATCTCATACATGCACATTTTTTTAGCATCAAAATGGCTGACTGACAGTCATCTTGTTTAAAAGAATGCAGTTCAAGGATATAGCAAACTTGTCTAAACTTCTAATATACGGGCATATACTGGAATTTAATTTAACTTATTTAATTGACAACCATTTTAATTCAATCTTGGTCGATACAAAAACATCTCGAAAGCATATAATTATTTTCCCTCAACTTAATTGCCACCATATTGTTTTATAGAAGGCTGTTCAATAGCACATAATTCTGACATGTCTTTTCTGTATGCATATTTCAGTTATTCAATAATCGATTTGGTCGAATCTGTTATTTTACAAACATATTGAGTCTTGTGGTAATAATAATAATAATAATATTTTATTAGCCTTTGGAGTGGCAAACTGCCTAGTGATTACTTAGATAGGGGATCAAACTTGAAACTACCCGAATGTGAGGAAAACAAGCTAACCGCTGCAGTACTGTATGGTACATCTTGTGTATGTCACCACTGTAATGCTATATATGATAGGGACCATACAATCTTTTATGGGACTCCCAATAGTAGAAATACAATTAAATTTTTATTACAAATGTGATTTTATTGAAATATAAAAATATTAAAACTGTTTCATTACAAACACTGTATAACAAGCAATTATTTTTAAATGGTAAATTGAGAATATTATTCCAAGTAAGTAAATGACAGATGTATTTTAAAAGTGAAATACAGACACTATCTTGTAAATGGTGTACAGGGGAGGGGATACATTTTTCCATTTTCAATTCTGATGTAACAAAACATGCTGTCTCACGACTTCACAACTCATCATTTGAAGTGATAGTAGTACCAGCGAAGGCAATATTTACACAGATACAACTTTCAGATTCTGTGGAAATTTCAGGTGACAATTTAACAGTATATAGTTATGACGTACAAGCAATATGTTAAAGACAAAATAAAACAAGGACTGTACTAGTATATCCTTTTTCCACGGAAACAAAGATGTTGCTTATCCATAATGTTCACTCTCACACTGATTGCAATTGTTGAATGAAAAACTGTACAGGAACCTTATTTGTCTTTTCCTCATTTTCAAATATTGAACTATTGATAATTGATAATTGTCCATCACGATATCTATCACATATATAAGTATTTTGGTAGGATCCATCTGTAAAGCCATATTACTGATGAATAAGCCTGGAGTATAGCACATGTGCTACTCCTGAAATTAGAGTCTGATTGGCAAATTCTAAAATCAACTGTACTAAGGGGTATCGACTGAATTTTTGTTTTGGTGGCTGATGTTGAGGCACCTTAAGTGAGTCTGTTCCAGCTTGACTATCATCAGATGCTGACGACTCCTGGTGTTCAGTCTGTTGCTGCCTTTCATTTTCTTTGATTCCAATCCATGATGAAAACAAAATCTTCATGCATCTCGGGAAGAGTGCGTCAATGACTTGCTCTGATGGCGGCAGATTGTCAATACTTGTAATGTGCTCAGATTTGAACTTGTCTACTTTATCACTGATGGAGTTTGACATTTTATGAAATTCTTTTCCAAGCCAAGAACTCGTGATATTCAAAGACAGTTCCTGCATAAATTCTGCAGCGTTAGTTTGGTCTAAGTTTTTCTGGAGAAGTTGAACTCCTTGGTGATACTCTTTCAATAATATCCATGGGAAATAGCTGTGATTTGAACTATCAGTACCAATTGTTTTACATTCTAAGTTTAAAATCTGCAACACAAGTATAATTATCTGCCCAACTCTGTAGCAATCAGTTTGATCTTTTGGTATATGTAAAATTATTTTATGAACACTTTCAAGTAATTCTGTTACTGTAGTTACAGTAGATAAAACTGTTTTAGAAACAGGAATCTGGGAAAATGAAGCTACGCAATCAGGATTAACTCTTGGATGATGAACATTCAATGTGCAGATGCTAGCTGTCGTATTTGGTACATCATGATCACGTACTTGCTTCCTGCTCAATGTGTCGATGCTAGCTGTTGTATTTGGTACATCATCCCGTACTTGTTTCCTGCTTGCTGTAAGTGGATCAACCAGCTTAGTAAACTGAGGTGAAGCTACTTGTTTGTTAACTTGATTTAAAATTGACGGTGAGCAAGAACTTTCAGAGCTTGATGGTATGATCATACTGTGGAGATTTGAGTTACTTGATTCGCTGTTATTTGTTTCGGACATACTTTCCCATGATTCTGAGTTCAGCACCTGATCCTCAGTGGTCTTGCCACTGCGATGCAAAAGATGCCGACCAATAGATGAACCTAGATGGACTTTATACAAGTCCTGTAATGGAGTGTCACAGAATCTTGCCTTCCAAAGCTTCTGTAAAATAAAAGAGTACTTTAGAGTTAGCTTTTAAGATGAAGGTCTTCTTCACATTCATTAGGCATACCTTATTCGTTTCATTAGCAGTGCACATAAACCAAAAAATTTCATTTATTATATCCTGGATCATCACAATTACATACTGAGAGTATCCATAGTGCTTTGCGGGTTCTTGGTACATTGTACTACTGGTATTTTGCAAAAAACAAGGCTTTGCTAGGATTAGACTTGAATTTTTACTGATTCACTCAATCAATAGTGAAAATAGATTCCAAGTGAAAAAAAAAAAAATTTAAAGTACATGTATCTGTATCAAATTTATTAACATTGGTAAATACTACAAAACACATGTTGAAATTATTGATAACATTGACACTGCTTTAAAAAATGTTTTTATGATAAGGCAATTTCAGCTGATAGCAAACTTGGATGTTAAGTTATGCCCCGACTGTACTGTACTATTATTGATATATTAGTTCATAATAATAGCTAATAATTGTAATAAATGAGAAAAAAAGTGTAGAAAACAATAAATTGTATCAAGAATGAATGGCTTGGGAAGAACAATTATTATTATACATTTGTCACTGTAATGCCATAAGTAACAGCGTGCCATAATTTTGCAGTATTTTACGGAGTATTTTCATCCTACCATATTAGGAAATGTGAATTCCAAATATGGAAGGATTGCGCGCATACGCGTCCTCTAATAATAAAAACAAACATGGCTGCCACCAGGGTTTGACCAGACTCCATACAAAGAATATATAAAATATACCATAATACCATAACTAAACTTTTACTTTTGTACAGCTAGTATTGTGAAATCCAGGAAAAGAATTTAATAGTGTGGCAAAAAACAAGAATATAGCATGTTCTCTGAAGAATCAATAAAGTGAGAAAGAAAAACTAAAATATGTATTTAAACACTTGCTCATAACACTTTTAGGAGAAAGCTAATCATAACAGCTATATTTTATGTTCGTACCACGTACCCACATTCCGTACAACAACACCCAGAATGCACCATCCCCATGTATGGTACTTGTATTAATTGTTACAGCGCAAACAGTGGTGTGTTGCTCTCAACGAGGTAGGACAAGAGGTCACTTATAGAAGCGAATCTCAAATAGTAAATTTACAATATTTCCTTACCCCAGACCATTCGTCCCGGTGTTATCGCTATCGCCACACGAGACTCCAGCTTGTCTCCTATACAATTTTCCTTCCGCCCACTTAATTTTAATATTCATATGACCTTTGCACTGACATCGATAGCCAATCGCATTCGACCGCGGACGTCACTCTAAATAAACAACTGAATAAATTAATATACCATATTTGGAAGATAGCGGGTAAATTCAACGTT